TAATTAAAATTGTATTTAAAACAATTAATTTCATTCGAACAATTTTATTCAATTTTTGAAAATAATTATTCAATTCTTCCATAGAATTTAAAAAAAAACATTTTTTTAAATAATTTATTTTTGTTGAGGAATTGAAATTAAGTTTTTAAGAATAATTAAATTTTTAAGCAATTCCTGTAAAATTGTATTAAAAATAATTGAAATCCTGCTATGAATTTTATTATTTATGAAAATAATTGAATAGTTTTTAATTTGAATAGAATTTTATTATAATTCTCAAAAATAATTGAATTAAAGAGAAGAATTTTGTTACTTTTGAAAATAATTGAATTATTGTGGAAAAGCTTATTAAAATATTTAAAAAGTATTGAATTTCTGTAAAAAATTTTATTATTTTTGAAAGTAAGTGAATTCTTCATTAGAATTTTATAAACATTGTTTTAAATAATTATTTTTTTCGAAATATAATAAATATTATGAAGATTTTATTATTTAAAATAATTGAATTCTTGTGTGAAAACTTTATTTGTGAAGATAACTGAATTTTTCGATTATTAATTTAAAATAGTAATGAAAATAATTGAAATTCTTCGATGAGTTTTATTATTTATGAAAATAATTAAATTCTTGCTTAGAATTGAATCAAACATTTTTTTTTAAATTGATTTTTCATGAAAAATTTTATTATTAGTGAAAGTAATTGAATTATTGTGAAAAATAAATTGCATAAAATTTTGTTAAATTATTGATTTTTCGAAATTTTTTTGAAAATTAGCGAATTTACGAATGAAAATACATTCAAATTATTATAGTTAATTAATTAATTTAAAAAAATAAAATATAAAAACTGTTTTGTAAGAGACAAGGAATTGATACGAGAGAAAACATAGAAGAAACGATTTGAAGTTGTTACGTCCCTTAAATGAAACTTTTCATAAATTGAACTCAGTTTAAAGTTGCAAACAAATTTTAGTTATAGTACTTTTCTATTAGATTATCTGAACAGTAAGCTTGAAAAAGTTTTCTTATAAATTTACAAGTTTGACCTCCTGCAGCAGACTTTTGCGTATTTCTCTTTGGGCTTTTGTTGAATATTCCTCGCTTCTTATGCTTCTTCAACTTCCATTCTTCTTCTCCTCGTTTTTTTTCACCTCTTCTCTTCCATACCACCTTTTCAGTAATCGATTGGTTTTGTCTCTTGTAAATAAGGAAGTTAAAGTTCGAACGTGTTTCGCTGCGATTAGAGAATGAAAGAGAAAAGAACTGGCTCGAATTTATGAGACCATTTCACCTGGCAAACGATCTTAACACCCTCACCAATTCCGCATTTACACAAGCCTCCACGATTACCCCAACAGTTATCGCACAAATGCTTCCGCTCTCGCTATAAAATACACATAACTCGCCAACAAAAGGCAGAAATTTCATGTGTATTGTCAAAATGAATTGAAAACTTTTAATGGCTCTAATCTTCTCCCTTTTTTTTTTTTTTACCTTTTGGAAAAAGAATTCCAATGGAATCTCGAAAAAGTTCTTTAAAAAAGAATTTCTATTTTTCAGAATGATTAAACTTTTTAGAGAGAAAAAATAAAATTTATACCTATTAAATTTTTCAATTTTATTTATGATACAAAATTCAAAAAGAAAAATTACTCGAAAATTTTATCTATCTTTTAATAATCGTATTTCGGATGACTGATATCATTTTAAAGTTGGCAGTTTTTGTTTGCTATTTCGTTTCCTAATTTTTGTGCGATAATTTTTCAATAATGCAAATGTTTTGAATTTCAAAAATTAAGGAAATTCTAATTTAACCCCTTCACAGTGTTTGACGTCTATAGAGGCAAAAATAATTCGTGCCCCCAGTGTGTATGACCGCTATAGTGGCATCGAAAAAAAAGATATATAAAAGTTAACGAATCTTGCTAAAAATGCCTACTCGGGAGTTTTCGGGGTCGCTGAATCCAAATCCGTTCTTGAAAATTTTAAATTCAAAATGTCGACCAAAATTTTTTTTAAGTTTACGAATTTGGCTGAAAATGCTCATTCGGGGGTTTTTGAGGTCTCTAAATCCAAATATTTAATCAAAAATTCAAAATTCAAAATGGCGGCTCTAAAATGACGACCAAAAAAATTTAAAGTTCTCAAATTAGTTCTTAAAACTTAAAGCAGAGGAATTAATATGTCCGATGTTTTAAAACATTGTGAAATATTCAAAATCAATCTATATTGACAAATTTAATAATAGTAATTAAATTAAATAATAATAAATAAATAATATTAATTAATTATCGATAAATTTAAATAAATAATAAATTAAATAATAGATCAAAAAAATGAAATTATTAAAAAAAGTAATGAAACGAAAAATAAAATTAATAAAGAAAAAATTAATTAATAAAAATTAAATAGGTAATAAATTAAATAATAACTAATAATACATATGATATTTTTATTACATAATATTTAAATAACGTTAAATAACTTTTTTCTAAGTTAATTAAACTTAGTGAAGATTTCACTATTTTTAAAAATTCGAGCATTTTTAGCCAAATCTGGAAACTTTAAAAATTTTTCGGTCGCCATTTTGAAGCCGCCATTTTGAATTTTAAAAATTTAACAAGATATTCCAAATCAGCGACCCCAAAAACTCCCCAATTGAGCATTTTTAGTCAAATTAGGAAACTTTAAAATTTTTAAAGCCGCCATTTTGAATTTAAAAATTTTGATCAAATATTCTGATTCAGCGACCCCGAAAACATAAAATATAATAATATCAAGTAATTAAAAAAATAATTTTTTTTTGCACCTTTGTGGCACGAAAAGCTTATTTTGACTACACTGCTAAGGGGTTAATGTTTTGGAGATTTTTACTAATTCAAAATTAGAAAATAAGATTTGTATTTTGTAATACTATTTTGCAAGAAAAATTCAGAAATCATTTTATATTTTATAATTTTGCGTTAATAAATTAAGTTTTTTTAAATATAACAAATAATATTTTTGTTACAAAAAGTATTATCATTTTTGCAACATTTATAATTTTGAATCTGAAATAATTTAATTCTTGGAAAGAATTTTAATAAAAATAAGTCTCGAACCCTACGTTTGCAGAGAGAGTGTACAAACTATATTTTATATTGAAATACCTACTCTCTAAATTTGAATTAGTAAAAATGTTTACTAATTTGAATTTCTTGAAGAAAAAAAGTTATTTATAAAAATAATTGAATTTTCACGAAGAATTTTATTAAAATTTATGAAAATAATTGAAATCAATTGAAAATATTTATTAATTTTGAAAATAGTTTAATTCTAGCGAAGTTTTTTATTAAAATTGTTGAAAATAATTAAATTCTTGAAAACGAATTTTATTTAAAAATGTTAATTTTTTCCTAGAATTTTTATTAAAATTGAATTGAAAATAATTAAATTATTTCAAGAAATTTTTATTAAAATTTTATTGAAAATAATTTAATAATTGAATGCCTGCAAAGAATTAAATTTGTCGATGAAAATAATTTAATTTTTTTGAAAAATTTTATACATTTTTTTTTAAATATTTGAATTTTTGTATAAAATTTTGTTATTTATGAAAAAAATTGAATTACAGTAGAGACTCCATTATCCAGACCCCTATTATCCGGATATTCGATTATCCGGACAAATTTAAAATTAAAAAAATTTTTTTTAATATAAAGTTTATAAGGTCTCAAGCCGTTAACTTCTATTTTAAATTTCTCCCCGACAACAAACACGAAATGTTGCGTTTTAAAGTGTTTTAATTATTTTAAGAAAATGTTTATGTAAATATTTTGAAATATTTCTAACTAAATATTTATTAATGTTGACTTTAAAAGTTTTAGTTTGTTTCAGTCTTATTTTAATACATATGCAAATAAATATGTACATAAAATTATGAATCAAAAATTTGTTTAATTCGTACTTTACTCGATTATCCGGATTTTCGATTATCCGGACAAGTGCCTGCATCCATTAGTCCGGATAATGGAGTCTCTACTGTAGGTATTTTAAAGAATTTTATTAAAATTGTGTTCAAAATAATTGAATTCTTTCAAAGAATTTAATTAAAGTTTTTAAATAGAATTGATTCTTTTGAAAAAATTTTCTGATAATAAAAAAATTAATATTGAATTCCTATGGAAAAGTTTCCGTATTTATAAAAATAATTGAATTCTTGCGAACAATTTTTTAAAAAAATTTTCATAAAAATTAAATTGTTCCGATAAATATAATAATTTATGAAAATAATTGAATTTTTTCGAAGAATTTTAATTAAATTTTTAAAAATAATTGAATTGAATAAGAATTGAATAAATAGTAATAATTAATTGAATTCTTTCAAAGAATTTTATTAAAGTTTTAAAACAGAATTGAATCGTTTGGAAAAATTTTCTGAAATTAAAAGAAATAATTGATTTCCTATGGAAAAGTTTTAGTATTTATGAAACTAATTGAATTCTTGCGAACAATTTTTTAAAAAATTTTCCATAAGAATTAAATTTGTTCCGATAAATATAATGATTTATGAAAATAATTGAATTCTTTCGAAGAATTTCACTAAAATTTTAAAAAGAATTGAATTGAATAACAATTGAATAAATAATAATAATAATAATAATTAATTAGTTATTTAATTAATAAGTGACTTTTTTAAATTTAAAATTTGAATTTATTCATATAAATTAAAATTTTAAATTTAAATTTAAAAATAATAAATTTTGTAACTTGCGTAATAAGAATAAATTGAATAGAAAGTTTCGTACACTGTCCTGGGTAAATTTGCTATTTTTTTTTTTATTTTGCAAAAATAATTGACTTTCTGAAAAATATTTTCTTGAACCATTTCTATAGAGAAATTTATTTGATTTATATAAGAATAAAAAAATATGTAATATTTCTATTACTGATAGACTTTTCGAAAAAAGGTTCAATAAAAAATGTTTGCTTAAGATACTAAAAAAATATGGTTTACTCACTTGAAAATTACGAACGTGTCCCAAAGGACAATCATCGCTGCAAGCACTACGGGGAACATGAACCTCTCCAGGACCAGTAACCCATTCAGTCAAATTGACATCGAAGTCCAATCTGCATATTAATATCACAAAAATTAGAAATCTTTTTTTCCTTCCTTTGCATTTGGATTTTAATTTTTGATTCCATTTTTTAAAAAGACTTTTTAAAAACAAATATTTAATATTTCGAGAAAAAAATTATACTTTAAAAAAAAAACAATTGAAACTGGATAACAAGCCCGTCTATTCATGTAAATAAAAAATAATAATAAAAATGCGGAAAATATAAAAATATTACAAAAAAAATTTGGCATCATATTTATTCTTATACAGACCGCAGGATTTGTTATTTATTTATTCACTTTTGTATTGCCAATGGAATTAAAAATTTCTAGAGAATATTATTTGCTAGATTTTTCATCACTGGTACTTTACTGTTACCTCTGATTTGATTTGAAAACAAATTTTATTTCCCCCCTTTTTTCTATCCCTGTTATTTTGAAACAAACAGTTATCAGGTTCACCTGTTATATGAAGTCACAAAAGAATCATTTCCACTGGTAGCATTTTTGTGTTCTGTTTTTTTCATGGAGAGTTTACTGAAAGGAAACCTGGAATGTTTTGTTTCATTAAACGTTACTATGTTTAGAATTCTCGATAGAGAAAAATTTTCGCCAATGGAAATGGTGTTTTTTTTTCTCCATCTAGAATATTTACTAACTTTCTGAATGTTGAGAACAAATTTACCAAACTAATTTAAATTTTTTAACTTTCTGTTTCTCTCTTTCTTTTTTGCAAAAAAAAAATTCCTTTGGTCGATATATTTAAATTTTTAAAAATGTATTTGCGAATGAAAATAATAGAAAAATTGACATTATATGAAAGAAATTGAGTATTTTTTTGTTGTTGAAAATATTGAAAATGAAAATTTGAAAAATCTAGAGAAAGTAATAAGAGAAAAATTAATTTAATATGAAGGAAAATTAATTTTGTAAAAAATTTTGAAACGCAAATATGTTAAATGCAAGTGTCGTAAATTTTCTTACACTTCTTTCCAAGTGCCAATCAGTGTATAATTGAATCGCCCTTCTTCACCACGTTGATATTGATAAATGTTGTAAAATCCGTAGGCATCGCCGTCGGCGTTAAATCTAATTTCAGTCCCTTGTCGACCTGAAACAGAAAAAAAATTCCCGTGACAGACAATAAGTTTCCATTTAGGATCTCCTTAATGGAGATCGCTTTCTGAAACACTAAATAAAATGCAATTATTACTTTCAGTTTATTATCAGAAATTAACCAAATAGCAGAAAATTTTTAAAAAACAATGCATTTATTCAAAATAAAATTCACAATTCAAAATTTTTCTTAACTTTTTTATAAGTTTTCTTTTCAAATATTTTCAATTTTAAAATTAATGAATTTGAAAATCATCGAATTATTGCAAAGAATTTTATCAAAAAATTTGATAATAATAGAATTCCTTCAAAGAATTTTATTATTTAGAAAAATAACTGAATTCTCGCGAAAAATTTTATTAAAATTTTTAAAAATTCTATAATTAAATTCTTTTGAAGAATTACTTTGATTTTTTTTAAAACAAATGGAATTTTTTCTTAATAATTTTAATTGAAAATTTTGAAAGCAATTTATTGAATTTTATGAAGAATAATTTTATTAAAATTGTATTGAAAATAATTGAATGAAATTCAAAATCAGAAATGAAATCAAAATAAAATTTGAAATTAAACATGATAATAAAAATTAGAAATGAAATACTTCCTCTATGAGGAAATAATTCAAATAAAATTAAAAAATTCAGAATGCAATTCTAATTTAGAAATAAATTTAATAATTAAAAATGAAATTGAAATTAAATTCGAAACATTAAAAATCAATGTATTTTGAAATTATTCTGTTCTGAAGTTTTTAGACAAGAAGATAAAATTTTTTGTGCTGTTTTAAAATGCAACAAAAAGTTGGAGGAGTCAGAATTCGACCTGAGAAAATAAGAGAACAAAAAACCACCACCATCAACCAATGTTAACTGAAATCGAACAAGAACTGAAGTAACTTCGGATCGATAAATAATTTAGATTGCTCCAACAATTGAATCACTCGTCCTATTTACGCAGAACAATTCAGCCTTTTCGAAACCTCACCAAATCAAAGATTTCCATGTCACTTTCAATTCACTTCCGCTGAAGAGAATTTCTCTTAAAAAATATATGTATATATATATCGGAGCGAAAAAATAAAAAAAGAAGCAAAAATCGTTTTCTGTTCAATAAAAAACTGTTCCGATTTATTCTAGACAATAATAATGGTCTTTTTTTAAGACAACAAAAATCGTCCTAATTTCCCTCTTTTCTTAATTGTAAATTTGTCTCATTTAGTAAATTTAATTAAAAAAGAATAATAGACGCGTTTTCTCGCAATGTTTGCGACAATTTGAATGAATGACAATTTTTTTACAATAGAAAAACTGCTTCATTGTTTTTAGTTTAAAAAAATTTCCATTTTCATTAGATTAATTAAAAAAACGAAAACAACAATTAGAAATGAAAATGAATTACTTTAATTAAAATGTAATATAGACAAAAAATCTCGTTCATTACTCGAGAATAATAATTTTTTTGATTTAATTTAATTATCAAAATATATAATTCAAGTTTTTAAATAATTGAAGTTTTGTAAAATTTCAATGGAAATAATTAATTTTTTAAATATTACATTAACATTTTTGAAAAACAAATTTTAAAAAATATTTAGGATCGTAAATGAAGAAAAAAATTAAATTCTCAAAAATTTTAATAGAACAGTTTTAAATGAAAATTATAATAAAAGTTGTCTTAGAAAAATTAAATTATAATTTAAATTGAAATTAAATAAAAAATTTTTTTTAAAAAAGTAATTATTATAAGAATTTTATTAAAAGTTTGTAAGATTCAATTATTTTCAATTATTTTTAATTACACACTGGAAAAAAAATTTATTTGATTCAAATAACCGATTAATTGACTATTATCAATTAAATATTTAATTTAATCAAATAATATTTATTGGAGTCAATTAAATGATATTTGCTTCAAATACTGAAATTATTGGTTCAAATACCATTTAATTGACTCCAATAAATATTATTTGATGCAAGTAAATATTACTTATACTTAAAAAAAAAAATAATTTCCAATTACATATTTCCTAAAATTCAAATATCTTCAAAAAATAATAAAATTCAAATATTTTTGGAAAATCTAAGTTTTCTACAAATATTTTTTAAATTTTGGAGAAATCAATCATTTTCAAAATATTTTTAATTACCTACAATTTTTCAAAAAATTTATTAGTTTTTTTAATAATTTAATTTCTTTGCAGAAATTTAATTATTTTCAAAAATTTGAATAACATTTTTTTATTTTTTACAAAAATTGAATGATTTTCATTAAAAAAATGAAAATCTTCACAAGAATTCAATTATTTTCAATACAATTTAAATTTAATAAAATTCTCTTAAAGGATTCAATTATTTTTCAGAAATTTTAATAGAATTTTTCGTAGAAATATTGGATAATTTGTAATACATTTTTAATAAAATTACTCAAAAAAAAAAAATAATAATTTTTAATTACATATTTCCTAGAATTCAAATATTTTTGAAAAATCTAAGTTTTCTACAAATATTTTTTAAATTTTGGAGAAATCAATCATTTTAAAAATATTTCTAATTATCTACAGTTCTTCAAAAAATTGATGATTTTTTTTAATTATTTAATTTCTATTCGCAAGAATTCAATTATTTTCAATACAATTTTATAAAATTCTTTCCAAAAATTCAATTAATTCCAATATATTCGAAAAAAAAATTTCTACAAGATTTTTTTATAGAAAAAATGCATTCGATAAAAAATGTCCTATAAAAATTTTTGTAGAAACAAATTTTCTATAGTTTTCATAGAAAAAATATATTCGATAAAAAGTGTTCTATAAGATATTTTATAAAATAAAGTTTTCTGTCATTTTTATAGAAAAAATGTATAAGAAAATTCTATGTAGGTTTCTTAAAGAAAAATATAATTTTTATGAAAAATATTTGTCCTAATAATTTTTTTTGTATAAAAATTATTTTCAAAAAATTTTTTCTTTTCATAAATATTGTAAAAGTTTGGAAAATTGAGCGATTCGAGTTATTTTATAAATATCAAGAATTAAATTAGCCGTGACAACATATATATATGTATATGCATCGCGAAGAAAAATGCTTTTTGGTTTACGCTCTACATTTTTACCGCCCCAGAAGAAGATGTTGCGCCATAAACATAAACGTATAAAAATTTATAGCCACCGAGAGACACGAACAGAAAAACCATCGACTAGAATGGATTTTTTTTCTTCAAAACGCAACTGTGCTCTCGACATAAATAAAAAATAATAAAATATTTCCAAAAAAAAAAAGAAGAGAAAAAACCCCCAAATTTCTTTAAGTGAGAAATTACTTATTTATACAAAAATAGTAATTATTTGCGTATAATAAAACGCTTAGGGTAAACAAAAATGCAAGTTTGTAACAAATGCCTTTTTGGGGGAGAAAATTCCCTGAAGTGGAGTCAAGGATGTAACGAAGAGAAAAATAAACTCAACCGTCTCGTCCATTACTCGTTCTTGAAAATTAACCATTTCCCCAGTGACATTTTAGCTGAGAAATAAATTCACTATTTTTTTTCTTCTAAAAAAAAAAAATGTCCCTCTTTCACCTATTCCAATCGAGTGTAATTTTGAAAATTGACAATAAATTTCAGTTCGTGGTTTCTATCAGTAAAAAAAAATTTTTTGATTTATTAAAAGTTGATTAAAAAATGAAAATGTAATATTTTCTGTCTCTGAGTAACACTATACTTTTAATGTTAAAGAAATAGAAGTGTTCCCTCATAAAAAATTTAAACTCACCTCGTACAGTGAATATTTTTAATTCTAAAAGTACTCGTTTGTGCGACAGATTGCTTTCGAAAAGAAGCAAAAAAAAAAAAAAATAACAAAAGAATATTCCAAGGGTTTGATAAATTTTTTTTTACAATTTCGTTTTCTGCTCAATCTGCCTTTTTTTGCTGCTTTAGCATTTAATTAAATTTTTAAAGTAAATCGTATCACTGTAAAAAAGTATGTCGAAACATCTGAAGCTAAATTTTTCCCATATGCAAAAGGTAAAAAAAAATTCAATTAAAAGATGCAATGCGCATATTAATGAAAATTATCCCAGATTAAACTTTTCTATCGTTTTTTTTCCTGCTCTTTAAAAAAAAGTATTTCGTTTGAAATGAAAATTTTCAAAATCAATGGGATTTTAGTGCATGTAAAATATGTAAAAAAAAACGATTTTCAAGTGAGAAGTGATTCGAAAATAATAAATAAAATTTTTCTGAAAATTTTGAGTATAAAAATAAAGTATATATATATAATATTGATTTAAGTCTTTCATATAGAAGTACTTATTTGCGGTAAAAGGAATTCGTTTACAATGGATAGTAGGAGAAAAGAATTTCATTTAGATAAAATCCTTTTTATGTTACGTTATAACCGAGAGTTGACTTCCTTAAGAAAATTTATTAGTTTTCATAAAATGATGAATTTTGAGCAAACACTTTATTCTCTCGAAATGCTAATCGAGACGGTGAATCATCTCGAATAATTCACTTTCGAGTTATAATAAAAAACGAGGAAGTTAATTTAAAAAAATTAATTTACACTTTATTTATTTTGCAATATATATCAGAATAAAATTTAGTAATTATTTCTTTTTTACATTTTTCAAGATGATGTTTTTTTTAAATAAACTGAAGTATAATAACAGGCCACGGATAGAATTTAAGGTGCAAAAAAAAGTCGCTCTAGTCGATTAAATATACAAAAAAAAGTCGAAAACGTCGTTTATTTAATTCAGTGTTATCACAAAAATTTCAATTTGTATTTTCCTTACCTTTCACTGATTTCTAAATTCAATTATTCAAAACGACAATAATTTTGATAAATAAAAATACTTGTTCTTTATTTTTCTACAAGAGTTAAAATTTTTTAAATTTCAAACCTTCTGAAATTTCAAAAAATTGCAACTGTAAAATCAATAAACTAATTTTTAGAAATTTCATATTACTTTTGTTCTAATAAGTTCAAATTTT